CACAGGGGGCTGGGCAGTGGTGGCACACACCTTTAATCCAAGTGCTTGGGAGACAGAGGCAGCCGGGTCTCTGCAAGTTTGAGGCTAGCCTGGTCTACAGTGCTACTTCCAGGGCAGCTAGGACTATTACAGAGAAACCAAAATGGACTCAGGCTTGCAACTCCAAGCTCAGAAGGGTCCAATGGTTCTAACCTGTGGGCACCTACACTTACATGCACACACCCACATACTGACATACATATAAATAAAAAACGCCAACTAGATGATGCAGTTTCATAATCAAAACGATGGGAAAGGTGCCACCTCCAGTTAGAGGTGAGTGTTCCGTAAAGAAAGAACACAAACGCTATGGTTTATATGAACGAATGCCAGGCATGGTGACCGACATCCAGAACAGCATCACAAGTTTAAGGGCTACACAGGGAGACCCGGCTTCAAACTAACATTGCTGACTGCTAACAGAGGGTTGGAAATGAAGCGGAAGGCTTGCCCTGGGTTTCATTGTCAGCACTTGAAAGGTGGAGGCAGAAGGATCAGGAATGCAAGATTGTCCTCAGTTACATACAAATTTGAAGCCAGTCTGGGCTACATGAGAGCCTGCCTCTGAGCTGAAAACTACAGGAGCCAGAAACTGCTGCTCTTGAGGTCTGTTCTCAGCACCTACACGGTGGCTTACAATATCTAACTCCAGTTCTAGGGGACCTGACGCCCTCTTCTGACCTTCCTAGGTACTGCATGCACCTGGTGCACTTCCATGCTTTCTTTCCTTCCATGTTTCTCATTAGTCTGGCAGAAAATGCCAAATAATCAGCTGGAGGAGAGAAGGCAGAACACTCACTCCCAAGCTGACAAGCACAGACCAAGCCAGGACCCAAGATACATTCAACATCTCCCGACAGCTCACCAGGCTCAGTTACTGCCTGGGGAGTGTTCATGAGGGACCTACTACTCCACAGCAGGGAAGTCATTCACAACAGCCAACCATGTTTGCACAGCCTCCCAAGGCTTAACAGTTGGCTCAGATTTCAGATAAATTACTCGTTTGTTTAGATGAATGTCAAATGGCTTTTAAATGGACTCTTTAAATGAAAATACAAACCTAGCTAGAACCTAGGTCCCTTCCTCTGCCTTATGGAATAGTCAGATATTAAAAAATAAAGACCAAGGGACAACCAATTGATTATCAATGGCTGGGGGGGCACATTCCAGAGTGGGTAATTATTTAAAGCCAGCAAGCTGCAGTCCAGGCCAGGATCTCTTTTTAAACAGGTGGCCTCACTCCTCTTTGGCAGGCCTCTCCTGTAGTCCTATGCTCCTGCCTCCACTTCCCAAGTCATACCAGCTTCCCTTTTTGAACTAAATAAGGGCTTAACTATGTAGGAAATATTAAAATACCACTAAAATTATTGGACTGTGTGTGCTTAGTATGCTGTGTGGGTTTTCTTTTTTTTTTTTTTGAGACAAGAGTTTCTGCGTATCCCTGGCTGTCCTAGAACTCTCTGTAGACCAGACTGGGCACAAACTCACCACCAGGCCCTTCTTTTCAATAATACATAACTAGTCTTCATAAATGACAGCCGGGATCTACCTTTAAAAAGAATACAATGTCAACAGATGTTCAAACACAAAGGTTTTTCTTTTTCAATTAATTGGGAGGCTGGTTAAATGGCTCAGCAGGTATAGCTGTTCGCTGCCAAGCCTCGTGTTCAACCCCCAGACCTACATGGTAGAAAGAGAACTGTTTCCTCCAAGTTGTTCCTCTGGCTGGTAATTTTTAAAGAGAGGAAGGAAAAAAGAATTTAATCTTCATTTCGGCATTGTGAAGGATAACAGCAGCAACAAAGTTATATACTCTCTCAACTCCGAAGAGAGCAGCCTAAAACTCGTGACTGAGACCAGCTGGCAGAACGCCACCTCGGAAGAATCTGCAAAAGCATCATTACTCCATTAGGGATAATGGCTATTGATCTGGCTCCTGAAGAACTAGCAGAGCAATAACTTTAAAACCCATTGATCCCACCAGGAAGACCTGTTTATATAACTACGGCAGCCTTCAACCACTGCAGCCCCCACCCACCCAGTCCAGAGTTCCTAACCCAGTAACTCCAAGGAAGTGAGCACGCCGAGTCGTCCTTTCCCCCAGGAGGCAAGTACCAGCTGCCTACTTGGTCTATTAAATTCCAGAGGCTACTGAAAGCCAAAGGCAGGATAGTCCAGTGGTCGCCACTTGCCCAAAGGGACGTGTTCCAAGATCCCTAACAAATACTGTATCTCATACATACCTGTGATAATCTCTCAGACAGGCACAGTAAGAGAGCAAAAGTGGATAATTAGAAACAATTATAACAATAGACTGTAATAGAGATTGAAGACTTTATTACATTTTAATTATTCTGGACTGTGACCAACCGAAGGAAAGTGAGATGACAGAATCTGAACGTGTGGGTGAGGGGAGCTGGGATCACCCAACAAGTCGGAACCACCCAAGTGTTCTGTTCAAATGCAAGATTACACATTTGTCTTCTCTCCCAATTCAGAATACTGCCCCGTAACTATTGCTATCCTGGCCACCTACACATAGAGCCGTGCGTGAATTCCAACCGTGGCATTCCCAGAATAATTACCCTAGATGCTTAAACTAAACCTTCATTCCCTTCATCATCACCTTACAGGAGAGCTGATCAGGAGTGGTAACACTAAAAGTTTCTTTCTCTGTGCTAAGTTCTCAAATGGTGACTGTTCAGTTTTTCTGGTGCCAGGGACTGTGTGTGGAAACTGGGGGTGAGAGGGAAGGTTTTCTCAAAAGGCCACAGAAAATGTTTGAAAAAAAACTTTTAAAAGGCCTTTATTTTACAAATTGTTTTTCCCTCCATAGTATTGTCAGCAAAGCACAACCTTCCCTCATTCAGATGGAAAACACTCTGCATTGGGTTCTCTTTTTTTTCCTAACAGCTACTGCAGATGACCAGCCATCATTTTTAATGCTTTTATGAAAACCTGTCTCATGGAGAGAACACTAAATGCACACCCACCACCTCACTATGACCGGAGACATTCTTATTTAGAACGTCCTTCACTTCCTCATTGCTCGTTTTTTTTTTTAAGTGATATGGATATTGAAAAATATGAAAGTACCCTATGAAGTTGTGTTAAGGGACATTTGGGTGAATGGGCTTTGTCTAGAAGTTACTGCCCGTGTGTGTGTGTGTGGAAATAAATTTTTTATTTTGGGGATGGAGGCCTATGTGGTAGAAGCGTTCCATGCCACCTGGCTTATCAGCTCATTTCTGCATTACCTTGGACAAATGCCATCTGAAAACTCCCTACCAGCCCTTAGGTGCATTGCAGCCTCTGTGTCATTGTGTGTGACATCACTGGGTTGCTATGGATATAGGTGCGAGGTCACTCGCTCTCCTGTGGAACTGGAAATAGGGGAGAATTAGAGTCTAAATATCAGGAACTGAAGACATTTTCAGCATTTGTGACCCACTTGTGACGTCCAACTTGTATCCTTTAGTTGTTAAACCGTTACAAAAGGCAACTGTAACACACTAATAAAACAGTATTTCTGATCTTAAGGCCAATTATTTCTCATGAAAAAAATTGTTGCTCGTTTAATTAGGAAAGGACAAGCACCTGGCCTTTTGAAAACACTAGAAAAAATTAACTAAAAATTAATGCTATCTGCTCCTTCACTTGAAAGGGTTAACACGCAAGGCACCCTCCAGCATGCACTTCACAGAGATGCACTTAACAACCTTTGTTACATAAGGTAGGAAGTTAAATATGGGGTGGGAAACCCAATTATTAATTTTTCTACTTCATTTTGAATACTCAGAACTGCCCCTTCTGCTGGCAAGCTGGTCCCCAATCCATTAAAGAGTGCAACGGACAAAATGGTGCAAATAGGTAAGATTTTGCATCTCAGACAAAAATGCGACAACTGGAGATCGGGATCCTCTTCTCATCAGCGTGAGGATGCAGTAGGTCAGAGGAAAATAGCCTCAGACACACTTACCAGGAAAAAAAACCCACAACCCTCCTCCCAGCCTCCACCCTGTCTAGGCTCTCTGCAATATGACAAATGCAGAATCTTCTGGAATGACTTGATACTGCCTCCCACCATCGCTTTGTTTGAAATATCAGATCAGACGGGATTTTTTTTTACACTTATAGGAATTTCGGAGACTCGTGCCTACATTCAGAAGAGAAACCACATATGTCATAATTGAATCAGCATCCAAAGGCATATTTAACCCTTTTCAATGAGAAATGAAGATGCACACAGCGGGCCATGAACGGAAATGCCAGCGACACACTTATCCCTCCCTCCGTAAAAGCCAGAGAGAGGACTTGCTTTGGGAAATGGGTAAAGGGAAGCCTTTTGTTAGGAAAAACGTGAACAAGGTGGTTTCGATTTTACACCATTAAGCCCGAGTTTTTTTTTGGGGGGGGAGGGGATCTACATTTTTTTTCTTCCCGAAATGTTCAATGTTCTTTAAAGAATGTGTCAGTGGGGAAGATGATGGGGGGGGGGTTGGAGTGGGGAGGCGGAAAACTGGGAGACCTGCTGAGTGAATGGGAAAGGCGCCGCCCAGACACCAGGGAGAGAAAGAGGAACCGCATCCATGCGGTTCCCCCGCCCCCACGCCTGAGCTGGAGGAGGGGAAGTGGGGCACAAAGGATGCGCACGGCCCCCAACCCAGATCCCTGGACCTTCAGGGTCACACAGAGACCCCCCCACCCTCCCCAGCAGAGCCCAGCCACGCAAGACCCCGCCCCAGCCCCGAGCTCGGGGAGGCTGGGAAGGAGGCCGCGTCACCACTCGGGTGCCGAGCCGCTCGTTAGGACCCGTCCCTAATCCCTCCAAGGAGTGCGATGGAGAGGTGACCCTACGGTCACGACGAGGCCACAAGCCCCTGAGCATGCCTTCCACGCCCAGAATCCCGGGGTCGGGAGCGGCTGGGGCGAGGCAGGGGGGGAGGGGAGGAGACACTCACGTTCTTCATGGCCGCGGCCATATCATCGTAGCGCTCCGCCTGCTCGGCCAGCCGGGCTTTCTGCACCAGTTGCTCGCGGTCCACCATCTTCGCGGGGCTGCAGCGGGTCGGCTGGAGAGAAGGGAACCGAAGACCGCCTTGAAGGGCTTTAGGGAAAGAGAGAGGCGGCTTGGAGCCCGTGTGTCGGAGGGCCGACGCACGAAGCAAGCTGCTCAGGCGAGGGCGAGCAAGAGGCGGCACGAGCTGCGACCGCGGGAGCCGGCGCAAGGAGGCTGCAGCTCTAATGCGTGCCGCGGGCGGACAACCCCCTGCGGTCCCGCCCACACGAGTGGCGTAACGTCACCGCCCACTCGCGCATGCGCGCGCCCCGCCCGGCCCCGCCCGACCCTTCCTTTCCTGGGCTTTTCCCCTATCGGCACGCTCCTTGTGGCTCCCCAATTCTCCACTGCTCTCTAATGTACCCCTTTCTTCTCCCCGAATCCTTCGCCTCAGTTTCTTCAAATCTCTCTCCTCGCCCCCCTGAGCGCCCCCCACCGTTTGCCCAGCCTATGGCGCGTGGACTCCTGGGAGAAGTAGTTCGACCCGCCGCGAACTGACCGGCAGAGGAGACCAAGGACAAAGGGGCGGTGGAGACTACATCTCCCAGCGGGCGTAGCGCAGGCAGAGGCAGACCGGGTGGGGTAGGGTCTAAGCCCGCGGCCGCTGGGGACCCCTGGCGGGGATGCAGCCTGCAATAGTCCAAACGAGTGCTGATTCACGGCCCCGCCCCATGGCCTCTGGCCAGTTGAGTGGAGAGAAGGCCAGGGCCTCAGTTATGGACTCTGTGAAACGGAGGTTACGGAACATGCTCGGAGGATCGGGAAAGAACATAGATAGAGTAGGTAAAAGACACCGTAAATCCAAACTGCCCAGCCACCACCATCGAAAGGGTGAGGCTGCCCGAGAGATGGCTGCGTAAATGATGCAACTTTTATTAGAGGACTGTCTCACACACGCGCCAAGGCTGCAGTTTCCAGTGATGCACTTTGACATGCGGCTTCACTGGGTGAAATCATGGAATGACACATATCCGCCTTGTACATTTGTTAGGCTGGCCCTGGGGAAATCCTTTCTTCCTCTCCAGTGCTGAGTACTGAAGATTCAATTCACTGACCCAACACTTGCCTGAGCTCACTACCTCCCTATAGTTTTGACTGCGGTTTTTTTTCGTTTGTTTATTTTGTGTTTTTCCAGAAAGGGTTTCTCTGTGTAGACCAGGCTGGCCTCGAACTAACAGATCTTCCTGCCTCTGCCTCCCCTAGAGCTGGAATTTACTTACTGATAGGCTGTCTGGTGTTTCATGAAATTCTACTGGGGTCATTAATTTCCAAGGGACGTTGAATGATAGGCTAAGTAATTCAGGAGTTGGGAGGTGAGGTCTGGGTTTGTCGCTTTAGTTTTCAGTCTTAGAGTGCTGAGACTACAAACCAGGGTCTTACATGACTGCTCCCAACTGAATCATATTCTCTAGCTTGGAATTGGCCTTCACCTAACCCCTCCTCTGCCCAGGAATTAATCCTTTTGTTTGTTTGTTTGTTTGTTTGTTTATTTTGGGGGGGGAAGGACAGGGTTTCTCTATGGCTTTGTAGGCTGTCCTGGAACTAGCTCTTGTAGACCAGGCTGGTCTCAAACTCACAGAGATCCGTCTGCCTCTGCCTCCCGAGTGCTGGGATTAAAGGCTAGCACCACTACCGCCTGGTGAATTAATTCATTTTTAAATGATAGACAAAGACTCTACATTATTTTACTGATCCATTTTGTTTGTATAGTTGGTGGTGGTTCCTTTGTTTTTCCAACTTTCTCTTTTATGTAATACAATGCCCATTGTTTTCTGTTTTGAGACCTCGCTTCACATAGTTCAGGCAAACTTCCACCTATGTAGCCAAGGAGAACCTTAAATGCCTAGTACCTGCCCCCAGCTCCCAGGTACTAGGATTGCAGGCACCTCAGGTGCATGGGTATGTGGCTTTGTTTTATTTATTTATTTATTTATTTATTTTCTTTTGAAACAGCCTCACCCTGTAACCAGGCTAGCCTGAAACCCACTCTGTAACTCAGGCTAACCGTAAATACCTGGCCATGTGTGTGCCTCAGCCTTCAGAGGACACAGGTGTGAGCCACTAGTCCCTTCATAAGACATTTTAACAGTGGTAGAAAATGGTGAAATCTATATTTTGTCTTCGTCACTATTGAAGAACAGAAATCATTACAGGACCTGGTCTACAGCACGTATGCAGAACACATAGCATCAAGCAATGAATGACGGGCCTGGAGAGGTGGCTCAGAAGTTAAGAGCACTTGCTGCTCTTGCAGAGGACCTGGGTTCAGTTCCCAGCACCCTCATGACAGCTTACAACCACCTATACCTCCAGTTTCAGGGAACTCTGATACCCTCTTCTGACCTCCAGACACCAGGCACACTTGTAATATACTTACATACATGCAGGCAAAATGCTCACACACATAAAATGATAAATTAAAATTTTAAACCGGCCGAGCGTTGGTGGCACACGCCTTTAATCCCAGCACTTGGGAGGCAGAGGCAGGCAGATCTCTGTGAGTTCGAGCCCAGCATGGTCTACAGAGTGAGTGCAGGACAGCCTCCAAAACAATACAGAGAAACCCTGTCTCGAAAAAAAATTTTTAGCAGGGCGTTGGTGGCGCATGCCTTTAATCCCAACACTCGGGAGGCAGAGGCAGGCGGATCTCTGTGAGTTCGAGGCCAGCCTGGTCTACAAAGTGAGTTCCAGGACAGCCTCCAAAGCCACAGAGAAACCCTGTCTCGAAAAACCAAAATAAATAAATAAATAAATAAATAAATAAATAAAATTTTAAACCAATGAATGATGTAGGTATCACATCAAAACCCTCTAATCCTAGCACTTAGGAGACTGAGGCAGGAGGATTGCCCATAAATTATTTATTTATTTATTTATTTATTTATTTATTTATTCATAGACTGACTTGGACCTTATCTCAAAGAAAAAAACTAAATTTTTAAAATTTGTTCCTTTTTTGAGATGGTCTGGCTTTCAGCTTTCTTTGTTGCCCCAAACTAGACTTCAACTCCTTGAACTGATCTTCTCATCAGTCCGCCTCAATTGTTGGGGCATGATTCCCAGAAGTCATGGTGGGTATCACACATTGTGGCTCACACACACACACACACACACACACACACACACACACACACACACACACTACAAACACAAGAATAATTATAAATACCATTTAAATTTAAGAGGGTGGAATATAGCGTTATACACCTTTAGTCACAGCACTCAGAGGCAGAGGCAGGTAGATCTCTGTAAATACAAGGCCAGCCTGTCTACATATCAAATTCTAGGTAGGTCAGGGTTATATAGTAAGACCCTGTCTCAAAAAAAAATCTTTTCAATCTAAAATTAGGTATCAAGGCTCACAACAGTAATCTCTAGCCTCAGGAGATTGAAACAGGCAGATTTCTTCAAGTTCAAGACTGTAGACTACATAGTGAGTTCAAAGCCAGGCTGGGGTACATTGTAATTCCCTGTCTCAAGCAACAATAACAACAAAATCTTCCAGTCTAAGCTATGGTTCCTATCTATATTCTTAGCTGCTAAGGGGGCTTGAGCAGGAGGATCCCTTAAGGTTATAAGGTCCAGACCAGCTGACAGTATAGCAAGACCCATCCAGAAGAGAAGAGGGAAGGGGAGGGGAGGGGTGAAGGGAGGGGAGAAGAGAAGAGTTTTTGCAATTTGTAGCGGCAAGGCTTGCAGCTAAGTCCTCTGCATCAGTATCTCTCCATCTGCCTGAGTAGAATATCTGAAAGGTCTTTGAAAATGTACGTCAGAGCTTCTCCATCTGTTGCTTTGGCGGTATAATGAATGCCACACCCACTGTGTGTGGGCCAAACACTCTCCTCTGTCATCTAGAGGAACAATTAGGTGCCTGTCATGGTGACACACACCTGTAATCTCCGCACTGGGGAAGTGGAGGCAGGAGGAAGGGAGTTCAAGGTTATCCTTGGCTACATAATGAACTTGAGACAAGCCTAGCTACATGGGATTTGGCCTTGAAGGGGATAGGGACTGGAGAGGTGGATCAGCAGTTAAGAGCACTGGTTGCTCTTCCAGAGGTCCTGAATTCAATTCCAAGCAGTCACATGGTGGCTCACAACCATCTGTAATGAGATCTGGTGCCCTCTTCTGTCTGATGACATCTTTTGTCCTGCAGGCATACATGCAAATAGAGCATTCATATATATAAAATATAAAAGTAAGTAAATCTTTTTGAAAAATGACTAATACAAGATGAGTATGCTGACTCATGCCTGTAGTCACTGTATTTGAGAGATAGAGACAGGGAGATTTAAAGAGGTCTAAGGCCACCCTAGGCTACATAGTAACACACACATATACATACATGTACACGCAAAGGAAAGCATGGAGGAATCTACCTAAATTCCCAGTAATCAGGAAGAAGCAGGACCAAAACTAGTTTGAGGATAGTATACTATGTATTTCTTTTTTTAATTATTTCTTTATTATGCATACAGTCTTTTATCTGTGAACATGCCTGTACCCCAGGAGAAGGCATCAGACCTCATTATAGATGGTTGTGAGCCACCATGTGGTTGCTGGGAATTGAACTCAGGACCTCTGGAAGAACATGCAGTGCTCTTAACCTCTGAGCCATCTCTCCAGCCCTATGTATTTCTTTTTATTGCATAGATTATTTAGTGGGATGGCACATTTGGACCACAGTGAAGTGTGTGTGTGTGTGTGTGTGTGTACTCAATTGTCTGAGTCTCTGAATCATTCAGAGGAGAACCTGTAGGAACTGGTTCTGTCCTACCAGGTGGGTCTGGAGAATTGAACCTTTACCTGCTGAGCCATCTCTCAGACCCCCAGCCTAGTTCCTAAATGGCAAGTATCAGGCCAACTGGGGCTACAAAGTAAGACCCTGTGTAGGAAACAAAGAAAATGAGAAAGGAGGAAAATATCCACTCCCTCAAATAAAGAGAAATTATTTTCAGGAGGCAGAGGAGCAACATAGGCTGAGCTAGAAACTTCTTAGCAACCTGAGATGTTTGAGTGTGGGCCAAGGGCTTTACCAATTTGGATCTTTGGTTTCCTACAACACGTAAGCCAAAATCTGTAACTGGCTCTCAGAATTGCACTGTGACTAAAATGGAGGCCCACCCCCCTCTGTCTCTGTTTCTCTCTGTCTCTATCTCTCTGTTTGTCTGTCTCTCTCTGTCTGTCTCTCTGTCTGTCTGTATC